ATTCAAACATTGAGTGCGGGCATAATAAAATTGTTCCGCACGTGTTAGCAAAATTATTTAAAGAAATATTGATAACATTTTCGGCGAAATATCGAGCAACACCGCACGCCGCACCATCATCTGTCAATATTTTTAAAATATAATCGATAGGAGCAGCACTAGTCGGCAAAAAAATCTCCAAAAGTTGTCTAAAACATATCTTAAAAGAATGCATTTTACTCACTCTATATTACATTTAGAACTTTAACACCTATTACAAAATTGAAAGAGGACAATATTTCGAAGAAAATCTCATAGCCATATTGGGATTAACCTAATATTAAGCTTGATAATTGAATTTGAAAATGTACTTTTTTATTAAACTTCAATCAATTATAACTCTTTACTAATACAATATATCCAAAAACGCATATGAGATCATCTCCAAAATATTGTTCTCTTTCGTTTTTATAATGGGTGTTATTGCTCTAAGTGCAGTATTTAGTGTGTAAAATGCATTTTAAAAAGACATGTTTTTACGCTCTAAAATTGGCTGTATAACGTCCTCTTAATTAAAATTACAATTCAATAATGAAGTTAAAAGATAATAATTGTAATACAATTATATACGTCTAAGATTCGGATTTGTTGATATTTTTTTATAGGGATTGGTTTTCTTATGTAAATTTTATATAAAACTAAAATTTATTTAATATGAATTACATCATACATATAGTCTCAAATAAAATATAAACGAATCGATGATTGCAGAAACGACATGAGTCAATTTTTTAAAACTTTTGGATAATTGATAAAAAGTGTATAATTTAAATAATTCTGAAAAATATTCTTATTTAAAAATGAATACTTGTAGAAATATATCAAGCACTTATTATACATAATTTGTGTACATAAATAATATGATGTTTTTTTATTATTGGCTTTCAAAGTTTTTTGACCCATGACGTTTTTCCATTCAATGTAAATATACCAAACAAAAAAATGTTTTAATGTATAGAAAATTACTTTATTTTAGATTATAAGTTCACATTATCACAATATTAAATTAATAAATTATTAATACATAGAAAATTACTTTATTTTAGTCACATTATCACAATAATTAATTAATAAATTATTGATACATAAAAAATTATTTTATAATTTTCCATAAACTCTGAATTTATTTTTCAATTATTGGCCAGTTCAAAACTTCATTCCAAAACGAATTATTTATTTTAGAAGGAGCTATGTAAGATGCTGATTTTTTTATATCTTTCATTTTATTTGAATTTATTGGTAAAATATCTTTATAATTTTCTTTTGGTAGTTCAATTTGATTTGTTCCGGGTAGTGTTAACCAGAAAGTATGTTGATTGGTGCTTTTAATAATTTCACTAGTTGTTACCATTCCCCTCTTATAAATGTAGTGGTGAAAAAATGATACATTTAAACATACTTTTTTGTCACGTGGAACTGATCTTTTTGAAGATTCTACCGAATTGCATGTTTTCTTATAATATTTATTCCACCATGATTTAAAATCAAAAATGTCTGAATGTGTTATAAGTTGGACTTTGAACTTGTTTTTATTACTAGACTGAATAATTAACTTGAGATATTCACGTAATGTATAAATTCTATCAATTTTTCTTAAAGTACGTTTTATCACACCAAAATCTCTATCACAATCTAAGAAAGAATGCCCTCGTATAGGAAAATAATGTTCTACTACTTCGAACCGACCCGTATCAACTAAAGCTTGACAAAATCGCACAACAGTATTATTTTTATTTTGTCCAGGACAATTGTCAGAAAATAACCTTAATTCTTTCACTTCTGATGGAACACATTGTTGAATATATGTAAGCAAAAATGTACACACTTCATTAGGACCTTTATACGCTTCGCCTTCGTGATATAAAAAAAACATTGAATCTTCTGATTTCATATTATGAATTCCAAACAAATTAATTGTAAGCTGGCGAAGGTAAAAAAGATCTTGTACGGGTATTTTAGGGAGTTGTAAGTTTTGCATGTAATCAAATGTGAGGCATAAAAGATCATTACGTATTTTACATTCATCCCTAGAATTTTTCTGTATAGTATAAAACTGTTTGGCTTGACGTTTATGAACTATCATTTCTGCAATAGCAGTTTTTTTTGCAGTTTCGTTTAAAGATTTATTTTTTATTTTGTTGGATAAATCTTCACATTTACAGCATGTGTCGACTTGTGGTCTACCAAAAGATAAATTGAAATTCTCTCTAAAGTATTTATTGTAATATTCATATTTAATATTCGAAGTAGGATATTTGGTT